AGAAATAAATATAATTAACAAATTTTTATGTTTTAAAAACATGCAAAATAAAATATATACATATATAAATTGTTTTACTTCAATGTCATTAGTTGGTAAGTACAATTAACGTTTTCGATATTTTTAATTTAATTTAACCTATGTTCTGTATTTAAAATAATTTCTATGTGTGAGAAAAATGTATTCATTTCCATTACGCCTTAAACTATACCATGTAAAACGGAACTAACACTTAACCGACTGTTAACATAATGTCTAAATTTAAGAAATGTTAAACTATGATAAATGTTTAACATTATTTGTATCTGCGTGAAAATGGAAGTAAAGATGTATTAAAAAACTTTTTATATAATCTTGTTTGTAAAAACTTGTAATCCGATTTTTACGATTAACCGCAGCCTTATGTAAATGCACTTACCCAGCAAAAAAGAACTTCCAAAGAAGCGAAAAAGAAGTACAATTTACTGTATGGAAGTACTATAAAGACCTGCAGAAGTGATGATTTTAAGACTTGGCATAGGGTGTTCTTTTTATTTGAATCCACGTTGGCTACTTTTGAAATCATTCTCAAGAAGTACTTTTTAAGTTATTTGGAATTGAAATTGTAGTATTATAGAATATTACAAATTTTACATAAATAATATTAACATTAATAAAAGAAATAAACACATTTAACACAAAAGCCCAAAAATAATATTTTTTTACTCATAAAAGATTAAGACCAAAAATATAACTTCAGCATTGAAAAAATATAATTATTGTCGCTTCTTCGGAAGTCATTTAACATCACTTTCACAGAAAAATTTTATTCTTTTGGAAGAATTTCGTTTTATTTTTCTGGGTAGTAAATATTTTCCAAATTGAAAAAGAACAATTTTTGATTTGGCCCATATGTATATGGAAAAAATACTTTAAATAATTAATTTGGTTCTCTAAATTGTAAGCTAAATCGACTCAAAATTTTATAAGGACCCCCAATATTCATATGGTATACCTAGTTGGGTCTGAGATTAATATTTCTCAGTTACACACAGAATAACAAACCTGCTCCAGTGATGGTGGTGGAAGTTATAATAAGAGGAATTACAAATGTACTTAAACAAATTTGCGACAATTAATTTTGCTTCTTAAAAAATTTAAATATTTTTAATAAAAAGAATGACTTCATCAAGATTCGAATCCCTAATGTTCCACTTCTCATGCCACTGTTCTGCCCACAACACCACTGCTTTACTTGGTTTTTACTAACTAATGTTTATCATATAAAAACACTATCTAAATTCTTTTCTGTGTGTAAAAAAAAACACTTGCTGAATACCTTTTGTCAACACTGATCCTGCTGAATTGCATAAAAAATTAAACAGTTACGTTTTCTCAATGTGGGCATTTTTCATCGCACGTTAGCAGTTAGAATCGTATTTTTATGTAAAAACCACCTGTTAACAAAGAAAGGGAATAGTAATTAATGGTGTAGTGGTCAAGACATGGAACCATCAACTGTGGGGGTCTAGGTTCAAACCCAGTCTGTTTGTAAAGTTTTTGTTTTTTGTAAAATAAAAGAACTTTTTGAACCCCCTTTTAGACCTATTTTATGGTTGGCATGTAAAATTATGGTCCGATTTTCCACGTAGTTGATCCTTGTGTTTGAAGTCATATATCTTCCGAAATACATTAGTTTATCTGCAGTAGTTTTTGTAAAAAATACAAAAAACCAGTTGAAAAAGCAAAATTTTTTTAGAGGTTGTCTGAAATTTTTACTCATATCTCTGAACCTATTGGACCGATTTTGGTGATTTTCAATTTCAAACTGCTTAGGACAATAATGAATATTTTTGGTGAATTAGATTTATTTCTTTTGCTTAGTTTTAACGTGAGCGTGTTTTAGGCAGACAGACAGACAGACGGACATAGCTAAATCGACTCCGAATTTCATAAGGATCAAGAATATATGTACTGTGAGCGTCAAAAGAAAGTGTACACCAATTTCAGTTCTACAAAAGTCTTTGTTAGGGCATTGTCACACGTTCAATATATATCGTGATATTTGCTGTATTGTGATATGTATTGAACGTGTAGCATGTAATATTGATGGATCGTGTTCCATATCACAGAAAACCCCAATTTTCTGAAATCCAAAATTCGTATCAATATTTATAATGAATCACGTGATAAATATTGAATGTGTAGCATGTTTTGTGATATCAATCACGATACATTTTTAAAATTTGGAAAAAAAATAAAATAAAACAAATAAAAATTAAATATTGTTTTAAAAATTGTTAAAAAATATAAAAGAAAATTATTTTTTTCAAAATTTTTGTTATTTCGGTATTTTCGCGGTATTTGTTTAATCATCCGCCGACTCGTATACCATAAAATATAACAAATACTGAAGAAAAAAATATTGAACGTGTAGCATACCCGAGTTATTCATCAGTATATTAAAATGGGTCTTGATCCATATTGATCAATATATATTGAACGTGTGCCAGTGCCCTTAGAGTACAGTTATTGATAAAAATTAAAATGTTTTATTGCAGTTTAGAAGGCTTATTTAAATCACGTATAAATTGACTCCCCCCGTACCGTGAAATATCGTTTCCAATTTAAATAAAAAAATCAATATTTACGCGAAATGTGACGAATTTTCAGAAATAGTCAGTGAACAATTAAAAACTACGGTTGGGAATTTTCGTTAACCAGGGACCAAATTACGGCATACGATATCAATCGAAATCTCAATAGAATCTAAATGGAGATTTCGATCGATATCGTATGCCATAATTTGGGCCCAGGACTACTAAAATGGCTTACTAACGCTAAAGAACGGCAAAAATCGTAAGGACCGAAGCCCAATTCCCTGAAAATTGATATGAAATTATCGGAAAATATAACACACTGAAAATAATCCATGCTTAACTTTACGAAAAAAATTTCGTAATATATACGAAAATTTCGTGTATAATACGAAATATTGTTTAATCAACCCCTTTTCTAATTTTACGAAAGTACGAAAACCTGTCGTAATATCTTTTTTCGTATATATTAAGAAACTTTGTTTTCTTTTACAAAAATAATTTCGTTAAGGCATGTAATATTTAACGAAAGTAACGAATTTTTTTCATAACAAGATTATTTAGTAATATACAAGAATTATTTTTGATTTCACAAAAAAATTCAGAAAATTGGTTTATTCTTTTTCTAAATTTACAATAATTATTTTAAAAGAACTAAAATATTTATGTCTTTAAAAAAATCGTAAAATGAATAAATTTTTTTTTCTAAAATTATATAAAATTATTTTGCATTTTACTAAAATATTTCGTACAATTTCGTATATATTACGAAAGAATTTCGTGGTGCGAAACCACGAAGCATTTCGTACAATGTACAACATTTTTCGTGTATATAAGGCATGGATTATTTTCAGTGCAGTTACACCAGGGAACCTAGTGGATATGAGTTCAATTCAAAGACCACTTAAATAAACGCTCTACATACCAGAAAGCCTCTTAAGAAACCTTACTTTCATTTAAAAAATTAACAAAACTGGAAAAATTTTACAAAAGTGGGTCAAAACTCTGATCAATACTTCTGGAGATATATTTTATTAACAAGCAAAGCAATACAAACAAATTTTTGACCATTTACGGTTTTATCAATAATTATACTGCAACACAAGTTTTTATGCAAATAAAATAACTGTACACTTTCTTTTGACGCTCGCTGTATATACTTTTTTGGGCCTCAGATGAATATTTCTTGGTGTTACACACGGAATGACAAAGTTATATATACCCTCTATCACCACTGATTGTGGTGGCGGGTATAAATAGTGAAAAACAATGATTAACCGCAGCCTTATGTAAATGCACTTACCCAGCAAGAAAGAACTTCCAAAGAAGCGAAAAAGAAGTAGAATTTACTCTATGGAAGTACTAAAATAGACCTGCAAAAGTGATGATTTTAACACAGACTTGTCATAGGAGGAATGTTCTTTTATTTGATTCCAATTTCTCTACTTTTGAAATCATATTAAGAAATTTGAATTCAGCTGATTAAACCAAGTATACTGCGAGAGTTTAGTCTCGCAATTTCTCAGACATTTCAACCTGAGATTCTGTATTCTATTACAGTGGCATATTATATGCTCGATCGTCTCCAGTTGCTCTACATATTCGCATAACCTGCAACAGTTCTTACAGTACACATAATAAAATGAAAGTTATTTTTTATTAAAAATATAATTTTACATTTTGTACAAAACTTTATTTCAAAATAGAACATTTGTCTTTTCTATTATAAAATTATATTTTACAACGGTGTCCCGTGTACCACTTATTTGTAGAAATTCCACTCAGACGATGCGTATTAACGTACTAAATAATGGCAGTTCCCTACCAGCGATTGAAAATCCTGATCTCTGTACAATATATTAAAAGAATTGGCTGAAATCTTTTCGAAATGGGTCTCAAAAATTTCGTAATTTTGAGCTTATCGCGAGAAAAATAATTAAATTTTTTCCGAATATTTCTGGTCCGCAAAATAGTTATTAGTTCATTATAAGGGGCATAATAAAATAATCTAAAAAATTCTGAAATGGACCATACCTAATGTCAAACAATATCTTAAATATATTTTTATATAAGCGGAAAATTACGGCAATTTTGTCACCTATTTCGCTGTAAAAATCATGTTGTGGTAGTTCAAAATTACGCAGTTACTGGTAGGGTATTTAGGTCCTTTTCATTTTTATTTTTCTCGAGTCCAGTACATTAATACACATCGATTGAGATGTATTTCTATGTGATATTTTTAAAAAGGCAGTTCCTCGGGACACTCTAATGTATACCTAATATTAATTTAAAAACATAAATATTTATGCACATATCTATGTGGTATATATTGCAATATGTACGTGTATGTATTATAAGTACATATACAGAAATAAATATTGCAAGAAGAAATAAAAATAATTTATGGAAATAAAACAGGTGAAATATAGTACATTAAAAATAGTAAATCTTTGCTAATGGAAATCTAAACGCTTTAGAGCACCCTATAAATACACAATAATATGTATAAAAGGAAAAAATTAAAATCCAAAGGCATTATTTATAAAAATAGCGTTCAGGTATATGCTGGTGTAGCTAAATTACAGAAGCATATACCTGGTTTAATCAAATATTCTTGGAATGACGCGAACCCGAAAATATTTTCACTTTCAAAAGACCAGGATTGACTTCACTCCATCTGGTAGGTAAATGAAAAATAGAGAAAAAACACACACATTAAATCATATTTTAACGAGTTTGGCAATGACATTGACAAATACCTGAGACAACGTTCTTTTAATCTAGCTTTAACTTTATTCTTAATGGTAGATACACCGCCAGCACTGTGTTTACCACGACCCGTTATAATAAACACATGTTTATAGTTTCGTGATGCTACACGCAGTCCCGTGATATGACGGTCTAAAAATAGATCTAAACATCCCAAGGCTTCTATTAAGTGTAAATAGTGGAGATCCAACAGATCTGGATTGTTTTGGGTGTACTTATGAACGTCCATGATGCAATTGGCCGCTCGATGATTGTACATATCGATTTTCTTTTTGTGTAAATTAGCAATTTGGGAATAATATATGGCTGCACCGCTGTTTCCGCTCTGTATAGCCTCCTTAGCCTTTTGATAACATTCAGCTTTCAGTTGACAGTGATGAGCAGCCAGATTTCGACTTTCTTCGAATTCACGTAGAGCCAAACGTTTAGCTTCATCCGGTGATAAAGATGATTTCTGCTCACTATCATCCCAATTATTAGAAATTCTCTCTTGGCGTTGATCCATTTGATTTTGAACTTGTTGGTTGACCTAATGTGCAAAACAGTTTATATGGGAATATATTAATAATTTTATAATGATAACATACCAGATCTTGCTCGCGTCGTGCACATTCCATGAGTTGTTCTTGTGTGGTAGAGGCATCATCTGTTTGCATAGTGCTACGAAGAACAGTTACCGTGGCATTGTAATCATTACCATTCGTCGCTAGCATATCAAGTAAAGTCTCGCGAGGAATGTCAGGAAATGCTTCGCACAACTTCATTTGTGTTAAACGCGATGCTAAGTCATTTGGTACATGCATTTTTTCCATTTCAATGTCGTGTTGCTGTTGCTCTTCTTTATCTTGATTGTATATTTTCCACGCATATTCCATGTCCAATATCTCACGTAGATTACTAGGAGATTGCTTGAACTCCGAATACTTGGGATTCTTCAAGAGTCTGGCAAAATCTTCATCTTCCCGTACCAACTTTTGACGTTCCTCCTCCATGTGGTTATATACTGATTCCACCCATAACATGTACAACTGTTTTGCTAATGACCGTGGCATAAAAACCTTTAAATTTGGCGGTAGAGTAGAGGATATTTGCTCTTCTAGGGACGATTCATTTCTGAAAGTTTCTGCTAGTTGCTGAATTAGTTGTTCCCCTAATGACATTTCCAACATATCCTCATTGAACTCATCAGTTTCATTGTCTTCTTCATCATCGTCATTTTCGATATTATCATCGGCATCTTCATCCTTGATAGATGTGTTCTCCGCTTGATTGCCAATGTTATCATTGCTTTCAGTTGTTGCATTTGAGGAAACAGTTATGTCATTTACACCACTGCGAAGATTTCGTATCTTTAGTAGATGTTGTGAATATTGATCATCTCCTAGAACGAAGCAATTTTCAATGTTTTCTTTTACTTCCAGAAGAGCTGGATTTGTACGCTGGTTAAATCGAGAAAAACGTGATCGCTGACGTTGAGGCTTAGCGTCAGACGCATTTAACGAACTCTTAGCGTTATCATCGGAATTTGGGTTATTATCAATATTAGTTTTAGTGCTGTCTTCAAGTAAACTTGATCTACTTTCTGTATCTATATTATTGCACAAACATTCGAATAACTCGTCATCATCAGTTTGATACCGACTGTCATCATCACCTCGAATCCTTTCCAATTCATCCTCTTTAAGTAAAATATCAACTGCCCAATCTACATCGCCATTACACTTAACAAACAAGTCCCATAATCCAGACAATCTTTTGTTCGGATAAATTTGACGCAACGATACAAAGACAGGATTTTCATTTGGACAATTAACGCTGTGACGTTGGAAGCCATTTAAAACATTTTTATCATTATTTGGCTTTGTGTTCAAATCATTTTTTGCATCGCCGCTATCTTCTCTTAGTAAATCTAATAGGGACATTTCGCCAGACGTGCTTTTGAGGGGGACATTCAACTGTTGTTGTGGCTTTATTCCCCAAAAATCGGCAGATTCTGATTCATAAGGTTTCCAAACATTTGTCGTCTTTTGTTCCAAAAGGCTATAAACATCACGCGTTGTTGTTGATATATCAGATTGTTGCTGTTCGAATGATTTTGACGGTGATCTGTTAGATTTAAATTTTGTACGTTGCTCTTTAGGTTCAGCAGTAGTTACTACATCCCATACTTGAGGCTGATCCTTTTCTACAGGCGTTTCTTTGGTATTATCATCATTAGATGTTTGCACAAGTTGGCAGTTTATAGGTGTTGTATTAAGAGGCGGAAGTGAACGCATCTGAGGAAGAGTCTTGGTATATTTTGTATTTTTTAACATCTGTAAAATTATTTTAGAAAAAAAATCCATTAAGCATACAAAATTACCATAGCATTAACTTAAATACATAATAATACAGTCAAACTAGCTTATAACGAATACTTGGTTATTACGAACATTTTTCAAGTCCCGATATTTTGGTAACTATTTTTATACAAAAAACATCTGTTATAACGAACTCTATTATTACGAATCAAAGAATAAATAAGAAGTGAAACGCTATCAAAAAGTACCTAAGCCTACTCTTAGTAGGTACGTAAATTAAGAACACATTAGTCGAATTCTCAAGCCCACGGATTTAAAAATATCGAAAAAAATATTACATTTAATGTTTATTGTACATAATTACATATCTAGAAACAATACATAAATGTATATTTTAAAAGATTTTCAATTTTCAACGTTTCTTGATCCTATGGAAAAAAATGCTTTTAAATTTTTATTGTTGAACCGAATTTCGACAATAAATTTGATTTTAAAAATAATTTAATTATTTATGACAAAAAAAGATTAAATCGACCAGAAATCAAACCGGCAAAGCACAGTTTGTTAATTCTCCGTTCCATCCACTACACCACTTCATTATTTTGTCCTTCGTTAACTAATATTTTTTATATAAAAATGCCATGTAATTTTCTGTTTGTACAAAACAATGCTGCTGAATAACTTTTATCAAACACTGATGTTGCTGAATAGCATAAAAAATTAAACAGTTACACTTTCTCAATGTGCACATTTTATTTGAACTTGAGTTAGCAACAATTTTTCAAACAAACAGGAAAGAAAATTTCTATGTGAACATCATTAGTTGCACAGAATTACGAAGCTAGTTAATAGTTTAGTGGGTATGGCGTAGAATTAGCAACTAGGAGATTTTAAGTTCGAATCCTGTTCGTTTTGGACAGTTTTTATTTAATTTTTTGCGAAAAATAATAATTTTTTAATCCCTATGGGTGGTACAAGAAATTGTGGACCCATTTCGATTTGTGCCAAATTTTTTATGGATACCATTACTTGGTAATTAGTAATATGCGTTTAAATGATTCTCGAAAGGGTCCTTGTATGGGAACTATGACCAATTATAGACCGATCGTGAAAAAAATTATATTAAGATTTCTGTAGATAAAAGCAATATTTGTGCCAAAGTTTTTATGGATACCATACTTGGTAATTAGTAATATGCGTTTAAATGATTCTCGAAAGGGTCCTTGTATGGGAACTATGACCAATTATAGACCGATCGTGAAAAAAATTATATTAAGATTTCTGTAGATTAAAGCAATATTTGTGCCAAAGTTTGTATGGATATCATTATTTGGTAATGAGTTATGTGCGTGATTTTCGGAACGGAACCTTATATGAGAGCTATTATGGACCGATTCTGAAAATTGTTTCTTTATATTAATTCTATTGACATAAAACTTAAATTTGTAAAATTTTGTAAAGATGTCGGCATTATTACGGAAGTTATTAACAATAAATTCATTTCCGGGAATATGTACATTTGTATGGGAGGTATATGAAATTGTAAACCGATTTTTCCGATTTTTAACAATGTTGATCCTGGTACCAAGAGTTATATCTGTGACGAAATTCATCAACTTATCTGCAGCAGTTCTTGTAAAAAATACAAATAAATATGTGAAAAAACACAATTTTTTCGAGGTTGTCTCAAATTTTTACTCATAACTCTTAACCTATTGTACCGGCTGATTTTCAATACCAAGCTGCTTAGGATAACAAATGAATATTTTGTGTGAATTTCATAAAGTTCCGTTGCTTCGTTTTAACGTGAGCGTGTTTTATACAGACAGACAGACGGACAGACGGACAGACGGACAGATGGACATATTTAAATCGACTCAGAATTTCATAAGGACCACGATTATATATACTTTGTTGGGTCTCAGATGAATATTTTTCGGTGTTACAAACTTATATATAGCCTCTATCACCACTGATGGTGGTGGAGGGTATAAAGTGCTAATATCCAAAAATTTTCACGAAAAAGTTTTGAAGTTTTGAGAGAGAGAGAGAGAAAGTTACATTCTTACATGTGTGTTGGAGTTACATAGAACTCGTCTGTGAGAAGACATTTTCATACAAATTTCCTTTTCTATAACGAACTTCATAATAAAGCTTTGTTGTTGTAACAGTTCGACTGTGGCCGATAGTTCTTTCTTGAAATTAGAATAACAAAAACTTAATTATTTGAGTTTGTATCTGTGGGTGGAAGGGAAGCTGGAGAAACTGCGACACCTCAGTCGGTCTTAACCATAGGTCTATGGGGGGCAAATTTTGTAGACCTAGCAGGACAATTGAATAAATGCACCGTGTCATGAGGATTTTGATGACAGGGCAACGATTTAACAGTTGAGGAAATTGCACCAACCGGCTCTTAATTGTGCCAAGATGGTTCTAAAATGCCTGGGTAATTGTCTCTCACAATCCGATATCATAAGGATGTTCATTTAGGACTCTGTTGCATCTGTAGCCATTAATGGCTTCGGTGACCGCCATTTGATGCAATATTTCCCGGACACTGTGCGTCGGAAGTCCATCCGGATGTGCCTGAGAGGGGGATCCTCCATCAGAATCTGATGGTTGGGGCATTCCAACAGGAACTGTCTAGTCAACAACACATTTTGTTGTCTGACTGACAGCAACCAGGTCTCCTCATGTAAATGATCCACATTCGTCATCTTGACGCATCCGGTTGCGATTGGAAGTGCATTATTCTTAGCCGTTTGTAAACCTCGCCATTGGGTACCACTGAGGAAAGAGGTCCAAACTGGGGCAGCATAATTATGTCGCTACAATCGTCTCTATATCCATACCCCAAGAAGTACCAGCTAAAGCTTTAAGGACCATATTTCTGTTTCGAACCTTTTGGTTGATGTAGTTTACGTGCCCTGCGAAGCGAAGGAGGCTGTCAAAGACTGCCCCTAATATTTTCGGGTTTTCAACCGTGGGCATAATAAGTCCTTCGACGGAGATGTTTAGCGCCGTCCTTACTTCTTTGGTCCAAGAGGTTAGAAGTGATACCGAGGATTTAGAAGCAGATAACCTAAGTTTGCGTTCCTGAAAGTATTAAGAGATTTTGGCGTCTATGTCTTCGATGTTAACACCTGATGAAATGACGGTGCAATCATCTGCATACGACACCAAAGAGACGTCAGTGGGGGTGCAGGAAGCCTGGCAAGATAAATATTGATGAGTAAAGGTGACAGTACTCCTCCTTGAGGCATCCCCATTTTTATCTTGCGGTATTTTGATTTTTGACCTCTAAACTCAACAAACGCATGTCTTCCACAGAGATAGTTAGCTATCCAGCGTTTGACATCGTTGGCGAGTGTTGAAATAGTGGTCTGGGCAAGAAGCGACATACAGACTATAGAGAAATGTCTGGGAGCTTGAAAAGCGGGGAGATATTCTCGTAGAGAAGTCTTCATTTATTGCAGCTGTTGTTGTAGTTGGGGAAGGTTCAGGTGAGTATGCACAATCCTGCACTGTTACCGGGAGAATTATTTACTGTTACCGGGAGAATTATTTACGCAATAGGCAGCTAATAAGTTATGACTCCAGTCTTTGTGCGAGTGTAAACCTGAGCATCTTCTTATATGGCACCAGTTTTTACAGTCATTGCACTGAACTGATGTTATGTTCCTACCAATTACATCCTGACAGACAGAACATCTCCAACGTAGTTGTTGTGATCTGCTGTGTCCGGGGGTTCTATTATGCACAATATTTGGTCCGGGGGTGGAGTTTGGACACGGGATTGTGGGATCGTAATTGTAGGGGGAGTAGTGCGGGGGTTTTGGAGCTGTGAACTACAACATGTTCCAATGAAGCTAGTGGACCAATCGCGGTGGCTGGTAAGTCCTGAGCACCTTTTCAGGTGACACCAGTTATTACAAACAGTGCATTGGACTGAGGTGGTTGTTCAACACCGGCTATAATTAAGAGGAGTTTGAGCAAAATTGCCGACATGTTTTGCTCACCCAGCTGTCGCTGGGTTGACAGTATGACTCGGGTCGTTCGGAAGCACAAATCCAACTGTCATGGGAACGAGACTATTTTTGCCTATCATTAGTTGTTTTCGAGCTATAGTGCATTATTTTTCTACTGCACTATTATTTTTAAATCTCTATATAGGTTACACCAATAACAAATTTGTCATAATCTACGTTATTAATAAGCTACATATTAACATATGCTTATACACTGTTATATATTTTATCTCATAATCTCTCTATTGCCCATAGTCTGTCTATCCAATGTTTCAGATAATGCCAAAGGTCATAATTATAAATTAAATTTTAACAAGTAAGAGTGTTATATTCGGCCATGCCGAATCTTATATACCCACCATCAAATCAGTACCGAAAAGGAATGCTTCCTTATAAATAATCTCTGATATATGTATACGAACCGATGCTTTTGTTATAATTGAAAAAATTTTCTAATTTATTAGATCTATGTTGAATTTTATCATCATATATCGATAATAATAAGAACATCAGGGTATTATTTGGAAGAGGGCCTTTTATCGTTTTTTATAACCGTAAACTGTTTTTTTTTTTTTTTTGTAAAAGGTGTTATATGTAGGGTAGAGTCAATTATGGACATATTCTCAACGGTTTAAACAATTATTATTTGTTCGAATTTCATGGCAGTACTCGTATCTTAAATTCAGTTATGAGGTTTAAAGTAATTTTCTGCTGGAAACCGATAATGGGGGGTGGACCGATCCTCATAAAATTTGCTAGAGCTTTTGGCTCGCACAAAACATGTTAATGTCGAATGTCACCACTGTACTCGCATTTTTGAGCCAGTAATGAGCGTTAAAGTCATATTATAAAGGGGACTTTCTATGTGGGTGGTAGGATCCACATAAAATTTGGTAGACAGATTTTGGCTTATATGAAACTTTTTATATCGGATTTAATCGCTATAGTCGTATTTTTAAAACAGTAATTTCAGTTAAATCTGTTTTT